GGAGGCTGATGGTGACTCTGCTGCTTCAGCAACTTCTGTTTTTCCCTGATGTGGTTTCCCTACACTTGGGCAATCCTGTCACTGGCGACCTTTGCCTCTATTCTGCCTAAAAATTCATCTAGCCTCAAACCCACGTGGGAAACAGACGGTCTCCTCCGAGCCGTGGGACACCTACCACAAGCTCGCACTTGGGCCACCTCCAGTTTTTAGCCAGTTCACTAACGATCCTTTTCTGAAGGGCTTCATTCTGTACAGATGATAGGACTGGAAATTACTTACAGATGGGAATTAACAGCTGGTGCCTTAACAAGATCCCTATTTCTGCTTCCCTGGGGGAGTCTGTCTAATTTAGGCTCATTCAGTACCTTCTTTTTCTTCATCAGTGCAGATTTGGAAGTTCCTTCATTGGGTTGTTTATGACCTGACTTTTCACTAGAGCTATTTTATGGAGCCCTTGTGAGAACAAGCATCTTTTCACATCACGAGTTCTGCATTCAGCTCAGTACAAGCTGCCTTGCAAATCCATCTCCTGGCTGGAGTGCTCCATCAGGCCCTACCACAGCAGTCTCCTCATTGCCCATGATGTGCCAGGTTCAGCTCCTGCCTCCGTCTGGTATTTCAAAAGGTTCTCATCATAAGCTATCTGCAAAACTGGAGCAGGGAGCAATAGTAATAAAAATAAAAAAAAAACTAACAGCTATTGGTACAGGCTTAAGGACTAAAATCCATCATAAATACTGCAGTGGCTTCTCAGCAGCCCTCCAGCCTGCACAGAGGAGCAGCCTGATGTGCTCTTGCACTCTCCAGTCCATCTGCACCCTTCTGCATCTCTTCAGCCATCAAGTCACTCCTTCCCAGCTGGAAGACCTTGCCGGCTGTGCTAGTTCTCACTTGTGAACTTGCTTACAGAGATTTCACAATCCCAGCAGGCAGGACTTTAATCTTAGCCCCTGCTTCAAGTGCAGGCTGAAATCCTGAGCTTGACCCTTTTGGAGAAGTAATTTCTTTCCCTCTACAGGCACACCACAGTGACTGTGCATTCTCCATTTGCCCAAGTAAACCAGGCAGTCTTCTATGACTTTCAGCTAAAAGATTCATAGATTGTGTTCTTTGCAGGGAAATTAAAAAGAAAAAAGTCCTTCACAACATATTTCCACCTTATTGAAAGATCTTATTTTTGCACCAATTTAAATTTTGGGGTTAAGGCTATGATGTTGGGCAAAGTTTGATAATGGGTGCAGATGTTATATGGGTGACCCTGATGGATCCTCACCAACGAGGTGGCTGTCACTTCCTTAATGTCTTTTCCAACCATTTTCCTTTGAAGGCTCTGTCTGAAACAGAAGATTGGAAACCTCCATTAGGCAAACTTGAGTTACTGCTTGCATGGGCTGTATTCTCAGCGCAACAGCAAGTGCTGCTGAAGTACTGCATTGGGTGAGAAGCTAAGATCTCTGTCAGAAACAGATGCAACACAGCAAGCATCTGTTGAGGGAAGTGTCCTGGAGAGGGTAAGCGTGTTCCTGCTCACTGCACCCACTCCTGGGACAGTCCCCAGGGGTCTTTCAGACCTCGCTGACACCTACAAACTGTCTGTTCTGTCTCTGCCTCTTCAGGGCTAGTACTTTTTCCATATTAATAGGAAAATGTACATTTTTTTTCCCTCTGCTGTTGAAGCCCTGATTTCACAAAAAGGGAAAATGATCTTGGATTTAGGCCCCTGCTTGTGTCTCTGTGAGCATATTCCCAAGATCAGGTTCTCTTGCCCACTCATTCATTTGGATCCTCAGCCCAGCAGGGATCACTGCCATAATGATTAATACCCAGTCTTTCTCTTTCATTATTGTTTACCTTTTTATTTTAAATTGGAAGTTTGGGTATCTCAGTCCATCGTTTGCAGAAGGATTTTGTTGTTGTCAGCTTGATTTTTCAGTTGAGATAGGGTTTATTGCCGTGTTAGTATTGTGACTGTAAAGGCACAGTACGTTTTCATCCATGGTGTTCCTTTCCTAAGCAGATCAATCCCAATGAACTCTTACTCAGCAAATGATGTGAGCCTTACCAAACATTTGCTCAGAAAATACATTCTGTGGTTAGGTATACTGGCATGTTTGCTGATACGGCCATGCTTCAACAGTACACGATTGGAGCTGGCCTGTGATTTATGATCGTGGGGTTGATTGCAAAACAAGGGTTTGTTGCTTCTTTATTTTAAAACGTATTGGGTATAGCATAAGGGTAAAAACCAAATCTTCTCTAAAAGCATCTGAAATTTAAGAAGAAAAGACAAAAATTTTGATTCCAGTTCTGCGAATCGTGACAACATCCTTGTGAGTGCTCTGTGCCAAACAAACAAACCCAAGTGATTCTCAGGGTGTTTAAAAGGAACTGAGACTCAGCCTTTCATGAGGTTCTGCCAAAGCCCCAAGTAGACGCAGACACTGATGTCAGAAGAGGGCTGCTGCAATTGTCTTGTTTGCTGTGTGAATGACAATACGTGTGACCGAATCCCAGTGCCCAGCGCATCTCAGTTGGAGTTTTTCCATTGGCTTTGGTGAGAATTGGCTCAAATCCTACATTTGTGTAATGTGTTAATGTGTTAACTGTGTCAAAAAACTTTGCGACACCATTGACTATTGTGCAGCTGATGATCTATGGGATGATAGCTGTATCTGAAGAGGACAGACGACCACAGGAATTTCCCGCAGCGTCTGTTGCATTGTTATTAAAGACAGAATGATCGTATGGTTCTGACAGTGCAATTTCATTATAAAACCAGTCGATTTTCCAGGAAGTTAAGTTATGGGTTGCCACCTAATCACCAAACCAACAAGCAGCTGTTAGACTGAACTGAGAACAGTTTGCTTTTGACTGGATGATTATTATTTTTAACCATCGCATCGTTCGGTGTTATTATCTTTGGTTAAGAACGAAAAACAAGGCTCTGCTTTGTGTCCAAGCAATAAATAAATAATATCACAGCAGAAAGTATGGGAGAAAAGCCCTGTATGCCCTCCCTGATATTCCTGTTAAGGGTTGTGTGTGTGTAACCGAATGGCTGAAGCACCTATTTTGTAGCTGTAGTATTTAATTGGCACTAAATGATGAATTTGTTCAGCATTTGCATCTGTTCTTGGTACCCCAGCAAGAGAGTACCCTCGGTCAGGTCTGTCTTATCATTCCAGCACATTATTAGGACAAACAGTCTCTGTAAGTTCAAAAATGAAGCAATGCTTCACCCCTCAGCTTTGTTGATTGAGCCTGGAACCTGTGCCTTTTCTTTTCTCTGTGCAAAGCAAAGCATGCTTTTTCCTTTTTTTTTCTTTTCTTTTTTTTTCTTTCTTTCTTTTTTTTTTTCCCTTTCTGTTGGTGGTGGTGATGAACTTTCCCTGCTCACACAATTTGTGCTGTAAAGCGAGAGCTCTTCATATTCAACAGTTGCAGTCTCTCAAACTCCTTGTAGTGGCCATGGCCAAACCCTGAGGTCCTTCCTTTGGTTTGACTCTGCCTCGTGATCCTGCTGAGCTCCAGTTGATTTAAATGGGAGTTTTGATTGAGGAAGAAGAGGGAACTCAGGATTTGGTGCAGCATGTTCTGGGAAAGGACGTTCACCCATAACCTATATTGCCTTGACTTGGCAGTATTGTTTTATCTTGCATATCTGACAATCTCCCTTTCACTGCTTACGTAAGAAAATCGTTTGTACTGTCAACAGCTCTGTTTAACCTTTAATAATAAAATTAGTAACTAAAACCAAGAGGCCCAAGTCCTGAGGCCCACTTTTGGGTAGTGTTTCCATTGAAGCCTATGAGAGTTTTGCCAGGGCCAGCTCTGGGTAAGCCCTGAATATTGAACTCAGCTTTTACCCCAGCAAGTTTTTGCAGTAGTCTCTTGTTTCTGCTCTACAAAGAGCAAGTAGGGCTACAGTGGCAGGGAAGGGAGCGCTAGGAGAACCTTGCTGTACTTTCCATTTAATGACTTTATTGGATGAGACGTCTGATGATACCAGGTTTTTCTAATTCTTATTTTTATAAGCTATCTGTTGCGCAGAAATGTCAGTTCTGGGCATATGTTCCTGTCCCTGGAGTCTTGTTCAGACATTAGAGAAACATTTTCTAACTCAAAAGATAAACACTTCTGCTAGAGTTCAGGGACGGAAATTGTTTTCATCGCAGCAGGTGTTGCCTATTAGTTCTACTAGAACTAAAACCCGAAGCTGGGCTTTAAGCGAGATGCATAATCAAACTCTTACATCATTGTGAGATGTACCGTACTTGAACCTTTTGCTTGCTGAGACTGTATTTCCTCCAAGAAACATCCTGTTTTGCAATCCCCCAAATTCCCCATGTGCCATACAGCATTAGGGATTTCATCACCTCCTGGGCACACAGGCTGTGCTTTCTGCAAAAGACCCGAAGGGAGGGAGAGACAGAAAGCCAGACAAGTCAGAGGTTTCCGTGTTTCCTGGTGGGACCATGTGATCTGTGAAAGATAGCTTTATTTTTATTTCACACCCCCCTTCTTTGCTTCATGCTGTTTCCATTCTAGACCTGAGTCTGCCTAGCAGGCTGCTGAAGACTGCTGGTTGCATCATTTCAGGGCAAGGATCGGGCTCTGCTCACTCCTGCTCAGCTGTTCCAGGTCCTCTCTGACTTTGAACAGCCTCGTCTGCCTTACTTCTGTCCTTCACCTTGCTGCCATGCGAGTGACCAGTGATGCACGGGTGTGCATGCTGTCATGCATGTTAGACCACTAAAAGGCACTCTTTGTAGGTTCGGTTCTTTACCTCTTCAGAGTTTATGCCTAAAGACCGCATTTATTTGCAAGTTCCAGCTTTGTATTTGTGGACATAATAAAGAAATAAATATACAAACAGTTTTTAACTTTGCAAGATTAAGTCCTTAGCTTATTTCTTTTGGACTTAATTCGACTCACCTGAATTCCCTGGGCTTGTTACTCTGGGTTTATAAAGATGTTTGCCAGGCTGCTAATGAGCTCTGATGGGTGCCCTAAGCTGCTTCACCTGAGTCCCTCATCCCCAGAGGTCCCCCTGGGAGCTGTGTCTCCTGCTCTTGGCTTCATTTGGACTTGCCTCGGAAACTGGGCTGTTGCTGACCCTGGCTGTGACTCCCAGACCTGTTCAACATTTGCCCAGGTACTGGGGGCTGCGTTCCTGGCTGGTGGAGGGGTCACCCTTGGTCCTATTTGTCCCCCTCTTGCAGGACAGCTTGCTGTGTCTCTTGCCTGGCAGGGCTGTGGGAAGCCAGAGCTGGCTTTCAGTCGCTGTGAATACTTTCAAGACTGGTTTGTTCCAAGCATGGCTCCCTTGTAATGTTTTGTGCAGTTGACCTGGGTCATGGTTTGTGACTTGTCTGCAGCTCTGCTGCCTTTTTGCAGCTTTTACCACAGCTGCAGCGCTTGTTGGTTAGCAGCAAAAGCCTACATCCCTGGTTCTGCAGTCAAGGATATTTGTCTATCTAACAGATAAAGGAAAGTGGTCTGGATATACTTTTTCTTGAGGGGTGGGCTGGAGGGAGTTTGCTTGTTTGTTGTTCTTGTGTATTTTTTTTCCCTTTGTAGTAAAAGAAATGTATGTTGCTACAGCCACTGGTTCCCTGTGTTAATAAGTCAGCTATGAAATTGTGGTTAAAATGGTGCCAAACTCTGAAGAGTGCAAGGAAGACTAGAAGGAAGAGCTTGTCTCTAAGTTTTTTTGGTGAAATTCATTAGGGCCATAACTGTGTTTTAGAGCTCACGTGTCTTATTAATGCATATCTTGTGTGTGATGTGTGGTGGGTAGAGGCAGGCAAAAAGAGAAAAATCTTAGCATGTCTATCCTATGTACAAGCTCTTTGAGTAATATAACAAATTGTGCTGTGTTGGGAGACAATGTATAAATAGGAGAGCAGCCTGGAGAAGCACTTTTTCCTCATCCCACTAGAGGGTGGGTGCAGTTTGGACAAAGCAAGGCTTTGGCTGCCTGAAGTCTGCCTGCTTGGCAAGGCACACAATGGGAGCGTGAGCAGCAGCTCATCCCCTACCGGGGTGGTGGGGCTGTCAGAGATGCCAGTTCAGAAAATATTGAGCTCAGGGATGGATGCAAGCGTTTTCCCTCAGTAGTTCAAGCTCTGTAATCAGAAGATGCTGTGAGTGCTAATTATATATAAATAATTGAGTGAGACAAATGTTCTGATTTTCAGTAGCTCAAAACAAAAGTGTCTATACACTCTTTTCCACTATGGTTTTAGAAGTCCATCATGTTGACACATTCTGCCAGGCTCACAGACACAGCATTTAAAAACACTTATTTCAAAGAGATAGGAAAAATATAAGAAATAATATTCCAGGCTGTATTTTCTTTTACTTTAATATTTGCAATTTTTTTTTTTTGTTTTGCAATAGAAAACATGCAAGTAAAAGTTCCTGATTGCAATTTCCATTCTGGAAATGAAACAGCTCATGCAGAAAGCAAATAGCTGCAGTTTAGAAAGAACTTCAGTGCATCATCATCGGTATGGTGTTTTCCCTAAACTCTAGTTCATATACAACAGCCTAAAAGATATTGTCTCAGTCTATCTTTACTTTTTTTTCCCCCTTATCTGTTGGTTTGTATAGTGGGGACTGAGAATTCAATGTTGGTTTAGGGTAGAGTAAAGTATTTCTGTAGCTGAACTTAAAAGAACTTGTCCAGAGTAATGTGGAATAAAAGCTTATAAAGTCAGGGGTTAGAGGACCTCAAAAGAGACAGCAAATCGACCACCATTAATTTGGTAAGGGAAGGAAAGGGTTTAGAGCCCTGAAACAGGGTGAGGGTCAAGAGAATGCCATGGAACTTCTCCTACTACAAGAAAAATCATTAACATACTTAAGAAAAATGTCACCCTTTGACACCAAGTTGAACTCGTCTGTAGAGTCTAGTTGTGCAGACTGTAGTGAGAGGCCAAAGATTTGATCCTCTTGCAGAGGACTTGCAGTTACATTAAGTGAAAATGATAAGGAAGAAGAAATGATGGTCCTGTGACTTGACCAGCGGGTGCTGTCATAAAGAAATATATCTGGGGTACTACAGTGTGGCATGCCCCAGTTGTGGGTAAAAGTAGCACAGCCCTGTCCTGGGTTAAGGAGGGATATTGCACAACTGACCCAGGTGCCTTGCAGGCTCTGTGTATCCACTTCTAATTTTCCATTAAAGCATCGGCGTTGGCCTCTGCCGGAGACAGAAGACAAGGAGAAGATGGATCACTGAGTCTGTTCTGGCATGATAGTTCCTATGTTTTGTTCCACAGAAAGGGTTGTGATCAACAAAAACACTGCCAACCTAGGTCACTTGCCAGTTTATGAGCAATGGGATTGCTTTGCTGGTTTGTGCAGCCCCAGTTATTTTTGCTGTTATTGAAATGTGACATTGGCTGACAGCTCTGTGGGATCTCACATATGGAGACGTTGTTCCGCAGGGATGGGAGAAACTGGACAAATTGTAGTGGGTTTTCACATATGGGGCCAATTCATGCCTGACGAACTCCTGTGGAAGATGCTGGCATTGCACCAGCCAAGAGGCTGTTTGTCATGATTAAAGCGCCTGAAATTTTCCCCCTAATGGGGGACCATGCTGGGTTTCAGCGTGTACTGCCCTGCTGCCGCCTGTTTCTGTTGTTGCTAGCTCTTCTGTAGTTGTTTGTGTTTGTTTAAAAGGAGAGCGGTGAGCTAAGCTGGTGGATGAAGCTGCAAGTGGGGTCTAGCTGGCTTTAAAAGTGTCTGACATTGTCACCTTCAACACGTGATGTGAGAAGGGGCAACGTGGATTAAGAAGAATCGGATCATGGACATGAGACCAGAGTGGTGGAAAGCAGAAGAGAATGGAAATACTGTGGTGATTTGCTCAAGGACAGTCTTGGTCCGGCATCCAAGTGGTTTGGGAGAAGACAGTCCTGCTGCAGCTGTGCCACATGTGTCTGCGGAAGATGGAGCCTGAAGATGACCAGGGATGGAGGGGAGAGGAGCGTGGTGGGATTCCTGGAACTGGGAAGGGATTGGGTTGAAGAATGGGTATAGGAGCAGAGCTGGGGGAAGCCTGACTGCAGCCTGCAGTGCCTGATCTGTGCAACGTGCACGGCTGGACTTGGCTGGTGGATGTAATGGGCCACCCTAGCAATATATTAGAGAAGGTGATGAGGGCGTAGAGATGAAGATACAACTGCTGTGCTGTTTCCCAGCAACTTATGGCCATGGTTCAGAAAGCTAAGAAGTGAAGATGTCAGTGTGAGTGATTTTTGGTACAAAACCAAGCTCAAGTCTATTGTTTTAAGAAGTCTCTCAGGGCATACATAATATGGGGCTCACTTCCACTGCTTGCAGTGTGTCGTGGAGGAGGGGGCTGGAGGAAGAGAAGTAAAAACCCAAGAGAAATGAGCGTGAGGCTTGAAAACAGTAGCAGGGCTGTAGTCTTGAAGAGAACCAGAGAGGCATCTTGTCTAAATAATTTAAGATGGTTCAGCTGGCCTGAAAGGGTAAATAATGATCTGGCAAGTGGGAAAAGATTAATTTTAAAGAGCTGACAGTAACACAGCCTACTAGGAAGGGCAGCAGTAGCTAGACTGAGACTGATGTGGGCAGGAAGGAGAGGGTGTCTCAGGCTGGTGGGGAGAACTGGAGGCATCTTCCTTTGTAGGAGGTGGAGGCATGCTGAAACACCGATGCCTAGACCTCGTTTCATGATCTTTCAGAGCACTTGTTCTGTTCTCATATGCAGTTAACTTTGGGCAGTGGAAGTAACATTACAAAAAAAGAAAAAGAGGGAGTAACTGTGGCCTCTGAGCTGTTGCTGTGTTGCTAAACCACCGCCATCCAGTGCTGGCTTAAACCGGAGCAGGAGGCTGTGACTGGACAGGGACAAATATGAAGATAAGTTAAGGAGATCAAATAATGTGTCCCGTAAGATGCCAAGGGTGTTCTCTTACGCAAAAGTGCTTAAATTCTAGCAAGCTGTAGTCAATAGTCATTGCTCTTGCAATATGCTTAAACTCGTGTGTAAGCTCTGCTTTAAATTAAGTTGTTAGCATGGGAATTGTGTATAAATGAGCACAGCAGTCATAGAAAAATCAAGCGTGGTAATGGAGAACCCTGAAGTTCCAGAATAAATTCTGATTTATTTGTGTATTTTCTGAAAGCCAGCAAAACTTGTGAGCATTGTATGTGAAAGCAATGAAAGCACTGTCTAATACGAAAAATTTCTGCTTTAGAGGAACTCTATTTTGCATGTTTTAGGGGAGGGACTTTGAGAGGTAACAGGTCTTTCTCCATTCAGATTTTGAGGCAGTGGCTGGTGAGGTTTCTGGAATCCGAAGGACATGAGGGTGAGCCAGGGAGGTCATACAGGTGTCTGTGGATGGTCCATGAGAAAAGAGAAGAGGTATTTGAGTAAGGGTGAGGACAAGTGGAGCCAGAGGATACAGCTGTGAGATAAAGGTACAAGGAGGGTGCAAATACTTGTTATACCTAGGGATGGATATTTTGGGCATGTACTTAAGAGTATATGCATTCATTGTGTAAGCTGGGAGTAGTAAAAAATACTGTTATTGCCTCCTGCATGCATGCAGAATCTCAGGCAAGTCCTCTCCCAGTCTGGAGGTAGCTTTGGTTTCACATGTATGGTTTTCGAAGGGCCACCTCTGTCAACCACAATGTGGTATTGCTGTAAAATACGAAATAATAATCTTGCTCCCTGAAAGCCAAATCAAACCACAGGACAGATCTGACAGCTGTCCAAGCAACTGAAAACAATCAGTCATAAAACAAATGCCTAAGTCAACAAATAGAGAACCAAAGAAATATCGAGTGAGATTAATCACTATCAGTTGTTCCAAGATTTTATAACAAAGGGGGCAGGAGGAGGGATTAGTCTTGCAGACTTCACACACTTTTTTTTTCTTAAGGGCAGCAGTTATCCAAGTCAGTAAAAATGAGGTAATTATATTGCAAAATTCTTTGGATGAGAATGAGACTTATGTTCTAAAATCCGAAGCTACACTTACCCACAGCAGAAAATTGCTGGAAATCAGGAGAATAGCAGCTTGCATGTTTATTTTTCCTAGAAGAAAACAATTGACTCTTCAGAACTCATTTTGGAGTGACTGAAAACAGATGGTGGTGGAGATG